GTTAACCTCCATTAGCTCTGACGGGATCAGGGGGACCACTACTCAAAGCCCTCTACTGATTAGGATCTGGGTCTTGATCTCTGATCTGAAATGGTTAATAGGGGTGAGGTACACAAGTCCATTAAGAATATCACACTACTCACCGATACGGAAACTGAAGGTTAGTAAAAAAATATAAAACGACTAATGAAGCTTTTAATTTAAGTAAATTTATTTATCATAAGGAAAATCATTTATTGCATACTTACCTTTATGAGATTTCTAAAATCATCATATAAAGACAATAACTCAAATAACATTATGATTTCTTATACAAGTGAGCAAGAACAAAAACTTTTTCTCTTTTTATTAACTAACTGGTACCTCTGGGAGTCTATAGGGATGTCCTCTTACGTGTGAACCCAATATCTAAACTTGTCAATTATCTGGCTTTCCCTATACCGTGTTTAGTATTAGTGCTTAAAATTTCATCTCTAGATACCTCGTCCGGTATGAGGTGATGTTCACTGTAGGATTCTCTATATACCCGGTCCATCTATCATCTCCCAAGATATCCAGTAAGATAACTATTTATTAATTCACATCATCAAGTAATTTTCTATTTGTATATAAATTTCACGTTTCAAAATCAACCGTAAATTACGTAAAACAAGTGATATATGTATCAAGAAAATACAATTGAATCATTTATCTATTTAAATATATAATAATGTATTTAAAGCTGTACAAGCAAGTAATCAGTTAAACATGACAAATAAATAACTAACCGGTTCCGGCTCCATTAGTAACCTGTAATTATTCCTAAAGTTTTCTAATTTCACATAATACCATATTATTTATTTTTAAACTTCAATTCCATAACAGGGAATAGGGTGAGGGATTCTTACCTGAATCGGTATCTAAAATACTGTACTTTCTACCACATCTCCTGGTGGTCCCCAATTTTTTGAATTTTTTTACAGAGATTAAATACGCTTTACGTACATAAAAATACCTTAAAATTCCAAAATCGATGTTAAAAATTCCTTTCGACCAATTTTGGGATTCCGACACGACGATGCTACCGTGCTCCGGCAACGGCACCGCCGCTTGCGGAGGCGGTTTGCTTTGGCCTAGCCATTTTTGGC